ATTAAAATACACCTTTTCAAACTTAGGTATGGAGGCATGCATGTATAAATTGAAAGTTTAGATGTTAGATATGTAAACCCATAGAGATTGAGTGGTATATAAGTAAATCCAGCTCGCTCTCTCTCTCTCTCTCTCTCTTTCTCTCTCTCTCTCTATATATATATATATGCTTTGATGTATTACTTTTTTCGAGAGAATCTTTGTAATGCAAATTGCTTGCGAAAAAAAATAATTTACTAAACTGCAATCAGTGCGTGTAGAACCAAATTTTTTAAGCCATAAAAATGTATTATTTAGAATTTATAGATAAAATAAATATTTTTCATAAGGCTCATAATGCCTTCATGAAAATTGCATGTTGGCATTTAGTACATTTAGGGAAAAAAACATTTCAAGTTCAAATAATGTCATAAAATTATCACCGCACCTAAACAGGTGCAGTGTGAAAGCGTTGTTTTCAGCGTTTTGAAAACGCATAAGCAGCCAAAACGCAGTTTATCCAAACAGGCCAAGTGCATTTTTAAAATACCACCGCACCAAATAAACTGTCACAAACAAAACCTAAGTTTGTTTTTCTTTCGCACAAACCAAAAGAGCTTCCAAAAGATTTTTGGTCACAAAATAACGTGATCAAATATGCTACTTCTAGGGGGTTCAACCAAAGAAAATTTTCAATTTTTTTAGTGGAAAAAAATAAAATGAAAAGAGAAAAAAAAATTAAATAGAAGAAAGTAAGGCTCAAATCCCTGAGATATTACAAAACACCCAGAATCTCTTCCGGAATTCGCAAATAGCTAAGATTTTTCTTTTCTTTTTAAAATTTAGAGGACTCGAGAAAAACAGGAATGTCTCAACCGATTTAACAACTTCCTCATCCTTGCCGGAAGCATTTATAGGCCTATGTATGGAGCTGTAACCAGGCTGAGTTGAGCCATGTACGCCCCGGCTTGAGCTTTAGCTTGGGTGATTTATAAGTTCTTTACAGCTCCAGCCATAGTAACAAATATATTTATACTTGGCTTAATTAATAATTTTAAATATTAATTTAAACTTGATTTATTTATATTTATTAAACAAGTGCTTCAATAAATTAATAAATAAATTATAACTCTGCTCAACTAGAATTTTCATGTCAAACTATTAATGAATATTTTAATATTCTAAATAAAAAAATAATTAATTAAACTTTCAACTTTTATCTAACTAATTATCACTAATTAAATAAAATAATAAATTAAAAATAAGCTCTCTTGTAATAAAAAAAAATATAATTAAATGCTAAACATGTATTTCTTAACAAAGAAAATTAAAAATTAAAGTATAATAATGCATAATATGTGTATTGAAATAAGATTATATTATATCTCTAAGTAAATTTTATTTAAATAACACATCTTTTAAAAAAAACATCAAAATTAAATTTACTATAAAATATAAAACAAATTATTTTTAAATAATAAACTAATTCATTCTTAAGCATCAAATAAAAGATTTGAACCATGTTTATCTATTGAGCTCGATCGAGAATTAATTAAAACAAATTAGACTTGCTCATCGAGTGCATTGATTCATTCACAACCCCACCCATGAATGATACTCGACAATAAAATTTTCAAGAAGAGAATCAATAGTTCAAAGTTTGAATACAAAAAGACATGTCTTCTAGTACAAAATAATATATCCTTATAAGCATAGAACTTATAAGTAGATTCGAATACTTTTAATATCAATATCATTTTTTTTTTTTTTTGTACGAACAAAACCAACTCAAACCTAATTGGGCCCGCACCAATCCATGAATTTTATAATGAAATCAGTACAATGCTTAAAAGCAAAATAAAAGCAAGTGTGTAGCCATAAGGTTTGTCACATGTAATTGTTTGCAATTAAGAATTAATCAGATGCAAACATTAAAGATTTATTGTATGAATACCTTATTATTACTTAAGCTAAGAAGTAAATCTTTTACTTGGTGCACTTGATACTTTACACGATCCTTAAAATATTTTTTTATGGTGGAAGTTCTTTCTTTTCACATTAATATAGATGGTGGAAGTTCTTTCTTTTCACATTAATATAGTTTTACAAAAGAATTATCCTAAAATACGCTTTCAGACAGATCATTCAAGAATTTGACCGTTAAATGTGCAAGCTAAGCAACATAAATTGTAAATTTTCTCACTAAATTATGAACCATTTTGAGTTATTTTTAGCTGCCATAAATATAAGTTTTTTGCACATTTAAGAAAATAAATGAAACATAACTGATAGCTGAATGGAAGAATGCATCACTATCATAACATCAATGAAGAAAAAGCTAGAAATATCTTCGACTCATAGCCTCTTCCAAGTCAAATGCTATTTGTCATTTTCTTAAGCAAAAATATTATAATGAAGATAAAATTTCAGAATGCTGTAGTAAGAAGAATATATAATTACAGAAAAGAATGTAACTTATAATGAAATTTGCTCAGGTTAAAAACCTCATAATGATAATTATTTATAGATTTACTTCTCATCAACAAACCTTTCATTTGAAGCAAAAGAGCTTAAAAGTGCCTCAAAATCAATTTAGGGTCTGTAACTGGGCTTCGTTAAAAGTTGAAATGAAGAAAATGAATTGAGTATGTTTTCTAAGTTAATTTTCCTTAAGTTAATAATCAGTTATAGAAAATGTTCAACAATAGATCAAACAATCATGTGGAAGTTCACTCTTGATGCGGTCCAGTTCTTACCAACCCCGTACCACCACCACAGCTTATTCAATGTCAAAAAAGAAATGTTGATCTTCAATCTCAAACAAGATATGTAAAATAGGTAAATATAGGGAAATTTACATACATGCACACAAGTTCTATATATTTACATATCTAACACTAAAAGTTTGATATTTACACTTATAATACATTGCTGTCGTAAACGTATGCATGAAGAGGTGTATTTCACTTTTAAAAATATGGGAATTGTGATATTTTTGATGTGATCTTAAGGATTTGAGTGGTGTGGGTGTAAATATGATTGTTTAGGGGGTGGACATGTAGGTGCATAAGAACTGTGCAGTATGTATGAAAATGCCCTTATAATTTATTAAATGCATTTAAAGAAGTTCCCAGCAAGGTTATGTATCCATGATACCCTTATGTTGTCAACCAAAAATATAAGAAGCTGATACCGGCCCAAACCAAAAAAGAAACACAAATATTATTATTGAATTTGAAATTGGTTACAACGATTCTTCAAAACATGGAATAAATGACAAACAAACACAAAGACACAAGCTAACATATTAAAAGTGTAACCCAAGGGCAGTGGAGGTTGATCGAGTGGATCTGGAGGATTGGGACAACAAGTGTAAATGCGGAGAGGGGCCGACAGGGGTTGGAAAATAAACTAGAGGAGGGAGGCGGTAGGTTAAGGTGGCGGGAAGGTTTGTTGGGCAGCTGGGAGGTAGGTTGGAATGTGAGGTAACAAGCTGGGAAAATGAGTCAACAGTGGGGAAAGCTCGTCAGAACTATCGGAGGGTGTACATCGAGCAGGGAAGCGCTAGCTGCGATGGGAAATGCCTGGATAGTAAAGTAAACTACTTGAAGTGGGTTAACTGAGTGTTGGGAGGAATTCTGGGAAGGTACACAACCAACACTGGGTTGTTTAGGACAGGCAGTATTGGGATGGAGTATGGGGAGCTGCGGCCTTGCTGGGAGAAGGCTAACAGCAGGTTGGGGGGAGGGATGCGGTGGACTGTTGTAGGGCTGAGAAGCGGGTGGACAACAACATGAAGGGTGGAAGAATAAATAAATATCTTATTTGGGTCGAGCTAAAACCGGAACACCACCCGGACCCATGGAGATGATCACCACCTTAGACGAGGAACAGTCGAAGCACTAACTCGACGTCAGATAATGCCCTCAAAGGGGAAAATACCAAGACTAAAACTTGATTTCATATATCAAAAACAAGAACTCTATTTATAATGAGGTTGTACTTTCGTTTTAGGAAATACATAAAATAGGAAAGAAAATAAAATAAAATTTCAGATTTTAGGAAAGGCTTCTTGAAATAAGAAGATGTGGTAGACTATTGTAGACAAGAACTCTATTTATAATGAGGTTGTACTTTCGTTTTAGGAAATACTTAAAATAGGAAAGAAAATAAAATAAAATTTCAGATTTTAGGAAAGGCTTCTTGAAATAAGAAGATGCGGTAGACTATTGTAGGGCTGAGAAGCGGGTGGACAGCAACATGAAAGGTGGAAGAATAGATAAATATCTTATTGGGGTGGTCAAGCTACAGCCGGAGCACCACCCGGGCCCACGGAGACTATCACCACCTCAAACGAGGAACAGCTAGAGCATTACCTCGACGTCAGATAGTGCCCTCAAAGAAGAAAATACAAAGGCTAAAACCTAATTTCAAATATAAAAACAAGACCTCTATTTATAATGAGGTTGTGCCTTCGTTTTTGGAAATACTTAAAATAAGAAAGAAAATAAAATCAATTTTTAGATTTTAGGAAAGGCTTATTGAAATAAGATGTGAGAATAAAATGATATTTCAAATTTTAGGAAAAGCTTTTTAAAATAAGAAATGAGAATAAAATCACATTTAAGATTTTATGAAAGGTTTTTAAAATAAGAAAGAATAAAATCAAACCTCAGAATTTAGGAAAGAGTAATAAAAATATTTAGAAAATCTGAATTGGAAAAACTTATATTAAGAAGGTGTTAAGAGGAAAAGAGGGGAAGGGGAGAGAAAGGAAAGGGAGGAGCGGCAACCCCCCTCTCTTTGACGATCGGTTGATCCTCCATAACGCCTGCGACAGCCTCGCGGGGTTGAGGGAGCTTCGACATTATAGGTCTAAGCATTTGTGTTGTTGTCAGCCACCCCAAGATCCCATTGAAGACCATAAGTAGCCCAGTGTTGGCGAAATATGTCTTCTACTATCACTAGCTTTCCCCCATTAAGGTTGTCCATGTTCTTGTAGGCAAGAATAGAAAGCAATTCTAAGATTGGCCAGATCTCATCCTTTCACGAATATAATCTGAACCTGTCCCAAAACTTTCTTCACCACAAACAGAACAATGTACAACATCCATCAAGTTGCCAAAGAATTTCCATCCCGTTGGCACCTCAAAAAACTTCAGATATAGATTATTTGTTAAAACATCAAGCAATGCAGTGAATGAACAACGTTAACAGTAAAGATGACAATAAAATCAGATGAAGTCACAAAGAACTTTTTACCAAGTATCATGTTACAATCAACATCACCATCACCAGTTGCACCAAGCTCAAAGGTTTCATCTTGCGGTTCCAATTTTCTCAATCCCATCCATACTACTAATTCCTTGGCATAAGTCAAGTTAGGGTCTGAATCACCCACCCCGTAGATTCTCCAACAACGGGGTGCAATTTAATAGGAGTGCAATTTAATAGAGAGCCTTCTTTTTCACAAAGTTATTCAACAAAAATATGTTTGGCATAAGCTCCAACAACATTATGAAGTGCATCATAGTAGAAATTGAAATTTGGAGAAGCGAAAAGTTTTGGACTGATGAAAAATAAAAAATTGATCTCCCTATCAATCTATTCTGATTTGGCTTAATCTGAGCCAAAGGTACACCACGTAGATTCTCCCAAGTCAAATTCCAAAGTAAATATCTCATATGCTTCTCATTTATGACAAGTTGGGCCTCAGAAAGGTTGAAGATTTACAAGAGTTTGGTTGATGTGTGATTCATATTATCTTCTAATATGTTCCAATAACAAGAGCTTTATATGAAACACTGGGGGTGAGGGTTTGAAGTGCAGTTGTCTGTGAAGTTATAGTTGGTTGTTATTAAGATAAACTACTACAAATTTAAATTCTGACATCTCCTGTTCTGCATGATTTTTATGTCTAAACATAAAGTTCTCCATCTTCTGGGAGAGAAAGAATCACAATCTCATCAAAAGTCGCATGTTCCTTTTGATTACAAGGAGGAATGGCATTAAATGTATCCACGAACAAGAGGGTTCCATGAGGGAAGACGTCATCGGATGAAAATTCTCTTTAGAACTACGCTTCAATGTCTGCGGTGTACTTCAACATGTCCAAATCTGTGGCACTCGCAACATTTTCTAGCTGTGACAGTCTTACAGATTAGTTTTGCCGGATAGTAGCAAAGGCGTCTCTTAGTGATACGGTCTCCCCTCTTCGGAAACTAGAGTCTGCAATTTTTGGCAGTAGTAATTTGGTAGGAACCGATGCTATATTTCATGTTTCATCTTTATATTTTCTCATTCTTCCCTTCGACCTTCAAGATCAAGGTCGAGAGTATCCTCCTACTGGATTTCCTCTTCAATATCCATAAGCCTACGCTAAGGACGACGAAGCACTCACCGTATCTCGTTCTAAGAAGGCTAAGGCATCGATCTCCTCAATGGCATGGCTGGGGTTTGGAATCTGCAGAACGAACGAAAGAAAGAACAAAGAAAGAAAGTAATACGAAAAAGGAGAGAAAAAAATAATCTGGTGGATTGGATAGGGGCGGATGCTAGAAACCCTAGGATAATACTAGGTTTGGGCTAGCTCTGATGTCAAATGATACCGGAGTTAACCCAAACTAAGACGCATGACACAATTTTACTACTGACTTAAAACAGGGGTTACAATGAAGACCCAAAATAACGAAAGACTTATATAGAAATTAAAAATATATTATGATTTGAAAAGACTTATATTAGAAAGGTGCTAAGAGGGAAAAAGGGAAAGGGGGAGATAAGGGAAAGGGATGAGCAACAACCCTCCTCTCTTTGAGGACTGGTCAGTCCTCCATAGCCCCCACATCAGAAACACTCATAAAGACTCCCTTGGTCAAAATTTATTTTTACCACAACTTGCCCAAGAAGATGAAAGAGATGCCCATTTGCTCAAAAATCACATGGAAAAGTGTTTTGGGGTGACGATATACTCCTAGGAACCACCAATCATAATAGAATCCTTTACATCACTGTAAGTATAGAAAAGCTTACTCTTAACTAACAAATCCAAGCGCAATTATTCATATTATAAATGTCAGACCTCCATTTTCATTAAAACCTTGTAATATTAACCTATTTGAGGTTAACCTCAATGTGTCTATATGAAGCTAGACCGGTGTCTTGTTATTTTTAATATGAACCAATGGGCTTGGATTCAATAAGATAAGCTTTCTTTATTACTTAAATATTTTTCTACAAAATAATTTTAAGGTTCCGAAGCCAGTATATATTCATGAATTATTTCGCAAAAGATCATGTGTATATGGAAGACATGGTTGAAGTCATAGTCTTACTAAATCGGTTGCTAACTATTAGAACATGAGTGTGAAGAAAAAATAGATGCATTATTTGTCCTACATAAGTTATGAATTTAAATTGTTCTTGCTACATGAACAAAAACAAATAATAATAAATAAATAGAACATGCAGTAGAATATGCCTAAGAAATTTCACAAAAAAAACAAGTATGTAGCAAATCAGACTAAGGAAAATAAAATCACATGAAGACAAGAAAACTCAATTAAAGATTTCATGCATGAAACTACAGCTAATTCTACCAGCTACAAGTGATAAAATGTAAACGTTTACGGCATCAGTCTAACATCTAAGCTCCTCTCCAACCTACCAGGCTAAACAAGCTCAACTAAGGATTTGAAAGACAAATTTGAGCATAAAAAATACCAGAAGTTGAGCTATAAGATGACATTCATGTCTAAAACAAACTTAAGATTTAGAAGACAACTTTGTACAAGGAAAACCAGAAGTAAAGATAAGTAGGACGAAGCTTACACCTAACATCCAGCGGCTCTCATGAAGTTGTCAAAGGGACTTGCAGGAGGAAGCCTCAGAGCCTGCCATGTTTGGCCAAGCAATACCTGCTGTGAATTACAGAAAGCAGATTCAGCACATTTTCTACTTCTGATGGCATAGATTTGTGAGAGAAGAGTTCACCTTCCCATTTGTGGTTTTTTTGCTCTCATGGAGAGCTTGTAAGGGATTCTGAAGCACTTCATCATGGCCAGAAACTAGCCAGGTTGAGAGCTTCTTCCTCGTGCCCATACCGAAGGTCTCACACTGGCTGGCCATAGTTCCATATGGGAGTGGTGAAGTTGAGACTGATGAGACAGATACTTGACCAGCTACATGCAATGCCTGATTAAATATGATCAGAGGTTACTAATTTAGGTGAAACATGAACAATAGTGCCTTTGATGACTCAAATCATCAACAGGTTTCACAGATCAATAACTATACAGGAAAAAAGTAAAATATTTTAAACAAATTAAACAGCTCAAAAAGAAGGATTTTTTTTCTTCTTCATGCTTTTTATTACACCATGCAATTTAAAATTGCACAAATAATGTTTTATGATTTCTGGATATGTCGAACATAAGGAAAAAATACTACAAAAGAAAACATTATATAGAACTAAATATAACAAAAGACATGAATTGAAGGTGAGGCAATTGGTATGTATGTGAGATGGGCTATATTCTCCTTCTATTCTCATTCTTAAGTTTTCTTTTCTTTTCTTTTCACACAATTAATTATAACCTAAAATATAAAAAGCACATGATCAAATTTAATCTATTTGTGATAAACCATCGAACAAAACATTAAAGTCCTTTTAAAAAGAACTAAGTATTATATGTCACTAATCAAAAATACCCAATATATGCATTATCAGCAATGTATGTAATTACTTCCAAGCTCTTTGAAAGTCTGTGACTTTAAATTGCAAATATCTTTATATGCAATCAGAATACTCCATTGCAAAAACTTAGATGAATCTAATTAAACAGCCCAATAATTTAATAATCTAATTAAACAGCCCAACTAGTTTTAATAATGTTAAAAAAAAAACTATTTTTAATTGTCTATTTGGAGGTTGTAGCATTGAAATCTAAATTCAAAAGAAATGATTCCTCCTAAGAGGAAGAAGTCCACCCTACATATGCTCTTTATTTCTTTGAAAGTAAAAATATGAATTATACCTTTAAAAACCCCGAAAAGGTATTGTTTCAATTATGGGGATAGAGAACACAAAGAAAAAATGTAGAAAGAAAAAACTTTGTATATAACCAAATATAACAAAAAACCAATGAATGATGGAGAATCAAAGGCATGTTTGTGAGATGGACCATATTCTCCTACCATTCTCGTATTGTCTCTTCTTCACTGTCTGTTCTCTTTTCTTTCTTCACATTACTGATTATGATTTCCAATATAAAAAGTACTTGTAGATTAAGTTTAATCAATCTTAATAATAACTTGACCACTCATCAAACATGTTAAAATACAAGATTGATCAAACGGCATATAAAAGTTCACTTAAAAAAATCCAACTATGTATGTCACTAATCAAAACTACCAATATAAGCAATATATCAACAACATGTAATAAATTTGAGGACATTTGGAAGACACTAATGTTCAAAATGAAAAATATATTTCATGCAAACTTTTAAGAAAACTTGGATGCATCCATATAATGGGCAAATAATCTTCAGAATTCATAAAATCACGTTTGCAACCAGTTTAATAATGTTAAAAAGAATAAATACTTTTAATTGCATTTATTTCAAGGTTGAAGCATTAAAATTTACAAACAGACAGAATGTTTATTCCTCCTAGGAGAAAAAATCCACCCAATAATGACCAAAGAAAACCTTTCGTTTCATTGAAAGAAGTTAAAATTACCAATTCTAAGAGCTGCCCAACGCTCATGTATTGTGGCAATGATGGCAGTTCAGAATTAGAGGGATGCAATCTGGGAAGACCAGTAGACACAGATTCAACGGCAGCATCACCATCTCTCGATGAGCTCAAATTTTCCTAAAAGTTAGATGAATATGATGAACCAGAACATTCCAAATTGAGTAATGCAGCAGTTGGCATTTTGTTGCTAAAGTTTGAGAGAGATAACTTAAGAACTTGCCTCAGCAAAAGGGCAAGAGTCTTCAGAAATTGTAACAGATCTACCGACATCCCATCCAACAAATGGAAACGAGCTTAATAAACTCCAAGCCCCATCCTCCGGAGTGAAATTAGCAGAAAGTACCTTGACTAGGTCATTTTTGTCCATCTAGCAGAAATAACAACTAGTATTATAATCCTTCGTTCAGTTTATATGACAAGGATACACAGATTTTCTATTTTTTCCTTGCGCCAAACAAATATATCTGTTAAAGAACTCACGTTGGTTAATATGGAAAGGTGATGAACTATAACATCAATGAAATGTGGACCACATTCAATCATAATCGTTCTCAAATCAGCCAAAAATGACATTGAAGCACGTTGATCAGCATCAGAACCATACTCTTTTAAGTTGGATTCAGGTCTAGCGTACAAAAGAAAGTCTTCGCCAACTCTTAGATATGGGTCAACCTGAGAAAGAACATTACTGAGCAATGTAATAGATGCAGCAATCTGATGATGTAATTTGCAAGTAAAAGCTCCAAGCAAAGTATAAAAACAAATTAGCTTTCGTTGGCCCCAAAAAAATCCCATCCTGCTCTATTGAATATTTAAGCAATTATGAATTGATGTTCTAGAAGACATATAATACTATCCAAAGTTTTTGCCCACTTACAAGCACTTTATAATCTAGTTTGATATTTCCCATAGGCATACGCCTCTGGTAAAGTAACTTTCTCCATCATAACAAAGCACTTTTAATTATGGCTAGCCTAAAGAATATGCAATGCTTTACTTTAGTTTTGGAAATTTCAATCGATAAAGAAATATATAATGCTACTGAAACAGAATAGATATGGGAGGGATGAAGATAGAGCCGGTCAAAAAATCAGCATTCAGGCGATACTAGTTATAATAGGCTCTAGTTTGCTTGGTCAACGCAACCTAACAAATTGAACCATGCAGTAAAGAAGGTTGTAGAATCAAAGAGATCCCATAAATCCAAAGTAGCAATTTGTTAAAGAGGCTAATTTTAATCTAAACATAAAATGATGTCATCAAAATCAAGCAAAACACTCGTTCATGGGAGGCATGTCACATCCTTACTTTTATTAGTTCTTGGGAAGCTTCAGTGAAACTTATATATTTGTCTGCCTTTGCAAATTGGGGCAGATGGCAAAGCTGCTTTGAGTGCAAAACATCCAATTATTGAGTTTTTCTTTGTATTTCTTCATACTTTTCACAGGGCTGAGGTTTGATTACGTCCATCATCGCAAAATAGCTTGAAACAATTTTCCTCCAAAATTTAACAGAGCATATCTATAATAAGGATTCCCTCGGATAATGATTTCCCATGTTTGCACCCACCATATAGGAGTATAGGACAAATACTTGAAGCGTTTGTTTTTGTGAGTTAGAATAAGATATTATGCGGAAATCCCTTCGATAAGATCTACCAGAGGACTACAATGTTTTTGTCACTTTCAATATCAAAGACCTAACACCGTATTACTACGACCAAAAAGCTTTGACAAATGAAATCGGCGCTCCCCCATCTCGGGAGGCTGACACAGGGCGTGCATCGGGGTTAAACCTTGGGATTCAGCCCTAGCGGGAGTAAGTCAAGCAAGAAGGCTGCACCGATCAGACAATCTTGGGCAGAATATTGGCATGAATTACAGTTCTCTTCTCCCCCTCCCCCTTATCTATCTACCATAAATTAGTGCGCTTGCTAAATTAAGGTTATTCTTGGTTTGTTATCAGATTTCCGCATGTACACTTCTTCCCTTGCTAGGTTTTATCCGATGACATGTGGTGCTCCGGCTGTATCCTACTCCTGGGTGGTGATTATCTCTTTGATCACCTCCACATTTCCCTCCTCCCTACTCCTAGGCGCTGGTCTGCAACCTCTCCTACCCTTCCTTGCTTCCTAGCAGATTTCATACACCTCATGATCCAGCTGCCAGTCATCCACCTCACTTCTCCCCTGCTTCTTGGCCACCAAACACCCTCTCATATCCCCCCAAATCTTGCCTCCAGTCACTAGCTAACCCTTCTGCCTGATCCTAGTTGTAGGCCGACCTCCTCTACTACTCCAGATCCCGCCGCCAACCACCCATACCCCCATTCCACTTCGGCCTCTATCCACCGCGTCAACACCACCAATGTCCTCGGATCTTCCTACCTGGCCCTAGCCGGATATTGTTGTTAGTATTCTTTTCTAGTTTCATTTGATTCCAGTTCATAATTTGATTTGTTCTGAGTAATAATATTTTCTCCGTTTCAAATCCCGAAATCAAAAAGCTTAAGGATTTTTGAAACTATCTTGATTTTGTCACACGATACTCACACCGATTATAAGAAAAACTATAAGAAAAATCTTTAAAATAGTTGATTTTCGCTCAAGAGCCTATCTAGAGGCCCAAAATAAGCGAAAGCACTTAATTTTGTGAGGTCCAAGCAAGAAATAATGAAATTTGTATCAATTATCCGAGACCTCAAAGATCTAGTTTGGTGATTTTGGCAAGATATAACTACCAGCAAGCTGCCTCATGAATTGTTCATCATTTCACAAAAACTTTGTATTTGAAGTAATTTTGTTGAAATATCTAATTTAAACTACTGGATTTATTATTTTTCCTATTAAGAATTATAATAAAAAATAATTTATTCCTATAAGAAGTTATGAGAAATGAATTATTTCCTTAATATAAGGAGATATTTCCTTTCTAAATTTATATTTATTTCCTTAGATTAGAAAATATTTGTTTTCCTATTTTATGTTATTTCTTATATCTCCTAATAATTATTAGAGATATCAGGTGATATATCTTTCTTTTCATATGATTTACTTTTTATTATTTTTCTTATTATAGGATTCTTGTAAGAGTTATTTATAACCTCGTTCATATCAATGAAACAATCAAGTATTCCACTTTATTCCGCATTATTCTGAATTTCAACATGGTATCAAAGCGGGAATAAAAATTCAAAAAAACCCTCGCCTTCCTCCTTCCAAGTCCAGAAGAATTGCAAAAGGCAAAGCCCTTGTCCTCTTCCATGCTCGACGGTTCTGGAACCAGACAGCGACCTGCTTCGGATCGAGGCCAATCTCGGTGGCAAGATTGACTTTCCGGCATGATTCCAGCTTGAGCCCCCTATCAAAATTCATCTCCAAGAATCTCTTCCTTTTTTATCATGTCGAAAAATAGAAATGATTTTGCTACCTCTATTCAATCTTCCACCTTGTCATCTGCTTCCGCACCACGTTCCTCTAGAACCATCGAAAATCATCCAGCCCAAATCACCACAATCCGTCTCAATGGTGATAATTTTCTATGCTAGTCACAATTGGTGATGATGTCCATTAAAGGAAGATGGAAGATAGGCTACCTAATAGTGGAAGTCCGTGAGCCAGCCACTACAGATCCATCCCACGCAACCTGGGATGCAGAAAATTTTATGATAATGACATGGTTTGTGAATTCTATGGAAAATTCCATGATAATGACATGGTTGGTAAATTCTATGGAAGAGATAGGAGCAAATTACATGTGTTACTCAACTGCTAAAGAACTCTAAGAGAATGTGACCCAAATGTACTCAGATATGGGCAACCAATCTCAAGTTTATGAACTATCCCTAAAACTTGGTAATATTCGTCAAGGTAATGATTCTCTCACCAAATACTTTCATTCTTTAAAGAGAATATGGCAATACCTTTACCTGTTTAATGATCAAGAGTGGAAGTTCCCTGATGATGCTAGTAGGTATAAGACCATTGTTGATGTAAATAGAATTTTTAAATTTCTAGCCGCACTTAATGAGGAGTTTGACGAGGTTAGGGGCAGAATTATTGGGAGAAGTCTGATGCCTTCAATCCATGAGGCTTTCTCAGAAGTCCGCCGCGAAGAAACTCGAAGAGGAGGGATGCTCAACAAGAAATCCACTCCTACCGGCATACCTGAGACCTCGACATTCCATTATGAGGCTCATGTCAGTAAGCAAACTGTCTCATATTCACAGAAGAATGAGAAACCCCGGATGTGGTGTGATCATTGCAACAAGCCACGACACACTAAAGAAACTTGTTGGTACCTAAATGGTAAACTATAGATTGGAAGACAAGAAACAAGTGCAAGCCACCTACTGCAAATATTGTTGTCAAACAAACCAGCCCATTTAGCAAAGAGTAAATCGATCAACTTTTGAATCTTCTAAACCCAGTTTGGCTACTGGTACTCCAAATTATTCGATGGTACATGCAGGTAGAAAACTAAACTCTTGGATTATTGATTCGGGAGCTTCTGATCACATGAAAAATTTACACTATTTATTTGATTCATAAATCCCTTGTTCTGGCCATGAAAAAGTTTTGTATTGCTGACGATAATTTCTCTTCCATTGATGAAAAAAGAAACATTATCCTGCCCAAGAGCATAGACTAAACTCTTGGATTATTGATTCGGGAGCTTCTGATCACATGAAAAATTTACACTATTTATTTGATTCATAAATCCCTTGTTCTGGCCATGAAAAAGTTTTGTATTGCTGACGATAATTTCTCTTCCATTGATGAAAAAAGAAACATTATCCTGCCCAAGAGCATAGATCTTAAATTTGTACTCCATGTTCCAAAACTCAAATGTAACCAACTATCCGTCAGCAAATTTTCAAAGGATTCTAACTGTCGTGTAATTTTTTGTGAATCTTCTTGTGTTTTTCAGGACCAGAAGTCAGGGATGATGATTGCGAGAGCTAAAAAGATAGGACTTTACTACTTTGAGGAGACTGTTCCTAGCGAAAAAAGAGTTCAAGCTTACAACAATATGGGTTTGAACCCTGCAATAGAAAAAATAATGGAATTGCATCTTAGACTACACCATCCAAGTTTTTCTTATTTAAAACATTTGTTTCCTAATTTGTTTAAAGGTGTTAATCGTGCTTTACTTCAATGCGAAATGTGTTATTTGGCAAAAAAATCATCGCATAAATTTTGCTCCAAAACTATATTATCCTTCAAAGCCTTTTTTTTATGATCCATAGTGATGTTTGGGGACCATCAAAAGTCAAAACATTATCTGGGAAAAAGGGATTTGTGACTTTTATTGACGATCACACAACAATATGTTGGGTTTATCTTATAAACAAAAAATCAGAAGTTGAAAAACTTTTTAAAGATTTTTACAATATGATTGAAACTAAATTTGAACCTAGAATATGCATCCTTAGATCCGACAATGGAAATAAATACTTTAATAAATGTTTAGGGGAGTTTTTGATAAACAAAGACATAATTCATCAATTTACTTGTTGTGACACTCCACAACAAAATGGAATTGCTAAAAGAAAAAATAGACATTTAGTTGAGGTTGCTCAGGCTATTATGTTTTCAATGAATGTTCCTAAATACTTAGGAGGGGATCTTTATTAATCAGCAAAAGTATGTACTCGACTTAATGAAACCATAA